TATTCCAGATTGAAAAGTAAGTTGAATCAAAAGCAATCAAGGTGAGATGACAAAGGACGATTTTGATTAAAATGTGTCAACGGCAAATTATTATGAAATCCTCTACTTTTTATTCAAAGGTTTAACCATAAACACATGATCGTTTACTTTACAATAAAGTAAAAATATATTCAAACCATATTTTTAACGACATTCACATCAGTTTCTCTTCATTAATATGACCTTAAGACTATTGATAATGATTTACAACTTTACATCTTATTTTCCATTTGAGGGCAAAAGTATTCCTAGAATTGCAAGATATTGATAAAATTGAAGGACTTTAGAAAATTTTGCACCATTACCAAGTCACCACTGAAAAAAGGGGGTCTGATAACAAACATAGACTGATTCACTTGTCAAAAAGTTACTAGTCAAAAAGTTATGTAAAGGGTTGTTCGAGGACAATGTCAGTCTTTGTTATATTAATTTCAAGAAATTTAAAATAAGCACAATATAGTATGTATAAACATGTGTTTTGTTGATGTATGAAGTTTCATTCCATTCGAGTTAAAAGAAATCAGTTTATTTCATTTTAGAATCAACATTTTTTGTAACTGCGGAGCATACTCAACGGCAATGTAACGTCAAAACATAGCGTCAAGAATTTCTTTAAAATACTATCCCTATACATTTCACATAGTATAATTAAATACCGACAAACCTTTTTCTATCACTTGACATATGTTTTTAAACAAATGTTTTCGTTGTATAATTTCTTTTGTCAATGTTTTAATTTCCTTTATTAACTCTGTTTTCACAGTATCAGAAACTCTGAAGCGCCTATGTCTTTCCTCTATGTTCCAATTTTTTAAAGTTTATGTTCAGATTTTTACAGCTAAACCGTTTCTTCAAAGATTTTCCTCATCCGATACAGAGCCTCTGTCACTCAAATACTGCCTGTACTATTTGTACAAACATGCAAAACTCGCTTGTGTTCCTCCAACATTTTTAGAATTCATTCCCAAGTAATACACAAACATTGCATCGTTATCTGCTGCTCCGTGACGTTCTACAACGTTATCGTTTATTGTCGTTTTCAATGAGGACTACCTTTCTTCCCATGTCGATTTCTTTTCAACGAACCAAAATATTTTGAATAAATCATGATATTTTAAAGATATTTAATACAAATCATTTGAATTTATTGTTAAAATACTTCTACCAAATTTGGATAAAACATGGCTTAAAATAAAAAAAAAAATATGACAGAAGTCCACGAATTTTTCGAACAAACCTCATATGTGTCAGTTTTGAACACTTTTAATATTCCAAAGAATCAAAATGAATTTGAATTACCATATCTATATTCGATTCCAAAACTGCATAAAAATCCGTACAAACAAAGATACGAAGCGGGTTCTAGCGAATGTTCAACTAAGCCTCTTCATTTCCTCTTGCTAAAATATCAATAGTAGTGAAGGAGAAACTTCAAGAGTACTGTGTAACAATATATATGGGAAGTGGTGTATATCATATGTATTTCCTAAAAAATTCCAAGGAAAAATTGGAAATTTTGGCAAGATTTTACTAAGTTCAACAGCTTAAAAACTTTTCAACTATATATACAACTATTCCCCACGATAAATTAAAGTTCAGTTTGATATCATTGACAACTGCTTTTTCAATTAAAGCCCGAGATAATAAGCACCGCCTTCAGACTTACCTGGGCTGGGTTTCACAAAACTATCGTAAGATTTGTCCTAAGATAGATCTTACGATCATCTTAAGATCTGACTTATGACAATCATAAGATTTGTTACTGCTGTTTCACAAAACTATCTTAAGTATAAGAAATCTTAAGACAAATCTTAAGACGAATTCATTCTTCAGTTTCACAGGGATTTTTTGTTAAAAATATGTTTGCACGAAGTTTACTTGCTTTTCCTTGATTTTGTAGATATACTCTCGGAAAAAAATGTATTGCATCAACTTTAATGTAATTAGGGTGTGTTTGTATGTATTAAGTTTGGGTCATAAAATTAAATTTAAATTAATTTCATCTTGCATCATTAAAGAATTGAATAAATTTATTTTAAATGTTTCGTGCTCAGAAAATAGTAGTTACGGACGAAATTTATGAGAGGCTTTTTTTAATTAAAGCTACTAGAATATCTGAATTTTTGCAATTAATGAATGATTATATCCGTTTGAAACATCAAATCGTGTTCAAAGTTCGTTCATAAAATTTTATGAAGGTGTCTTTAAAACGCCTCAACTACTGCAACAAAATAACATTGCTAACAGATGAAGAAAAGAAACGAAAGAAACAATTTCCAATTTAAATTTTATAATTTCAATACTATTAAGAAAAAAAAAATGAAGAAAACATGTACACATACAGCATCAAATGTTACAGCATGATTTTTATACATATCATAAACATTCCGGTATATTAAGAAGGGATACCCAAATAATAAATTATTTGATTTTCATCTTAATTTGTACGACTGAATAAAATGTTTACTTTCTAATTTCTAAAAAAAATAATCACCATAATGTTACAAAATAAATTACAGTAAAACGTCTATAAAATGCAGTGTAGCTACATACAAGTTTTTTTTTTTACTTTCATGGAGTTATCTAATCCATGAAAATGCATACACTTCGTATTTCTGTTTATTAAAAAGGTATTAATGTAACCTATCAATAAATAAACTACATGTATCTCGAACACAGGATCTTGAATTGCTTTAGCCATTTAAAAAATTGCCTAAGTTAGTAATGCTTGGTCATAGTTATTGTGATATTCTTGCGGCCGGGTAAGGAATTCAAATGAAACAATTTTGAATAAAGTTATACATGTATATGATATATGGATTTTATATACATGTACCATACAAGGGGGGGTTGCAATTTCACCTGGGAGGAAACACAAGCAAAGAAAAAATGCATTGAAATGAATAAAGTTGAAAAACATAAAGTGGGTTCATTTTAGGTTTTCTGTCGTTTTTTATTGGCAATTTTTTTTTTTGCGCGCCGGGGGGGGGGGGGGGGGGTCATTGTTCCATCTTGCTTTATATAATATATAATGATAACTAAAATTACTGATATTTTAAAATAATTGTTAAGAATTTCGTAAACGCTGTCGTTTTCACTCATTTTTTCAAAATATAGGGTGACCTTTGAGTACCAAGCTTTTTTACCGTCAAACGTTTCTTAAAACAGTGTAAACTACTCCCGATATGATGTCTATCAAATTTTCTATGCATCTTAAAGTCAATCATACATCATCAAATATTATTTGTTGAAATTTGGCAACCAGTACATAAGTTGTTATAATTTTTGTTGGCAAGGAGGGTACCCATTTTTGATGCCCATTATATAATTTTTTATCATTGAAATCCACCTGCTCTTTTGTCTATAAAACAGGCATTGGTTGCTGTAAATGTCATATATTTCAGTGAATATTTCTTTGGGATTTTTAACAAGTTTTACGGCAGCTATAATGAAGCTTTCATTTTCACTCTAGTTTACTGATTCTTTACCATTCATTTATAATGCAGTGTCTCGAAAAGCCCTTGTTTCCCAGCTTCTCACGATGAAACTATGTGATGAAAAGTGGTCACATAAACTGTTATAAATTCATGAAAGATTCAATAATGAGAGAAAGCCAAGTTTAATGTCATATGATATCTGTAATGTATGTTTTATAGTTCAGGACATTATTTATTGAACAGCCCTCGTAAACTAAGGTCCATCATTGGGTACTTGAAAATGATTTATATGTGTGGTTTTTGGAGACCGGATCTGCCAACAATCTGTTGGAATTCCAGTAGGTACCAACTGCACTCCGTTATAAGCAGACCTATTTTTGTATTCAAATGAAAGCAGAATTTGTCCAAAATTATACACGTGAAATGAAGAAAACACTTGTTGTGGCCTTCAACTCGACATTTAGATATACTGACAACGTATTGTCAATTAACAATGGTTATTTCCATTCTATATGTGGATATGATATATCCCGGTCAGCTTGAGATAAAAGATACCACAGAGTCTGTCACATCACGTTTCATATTAGGATATTTTACTTGAAAAAGACGTTTAAAGTAATTTAACAACAAAGGTCTATGATAAAAAGGATGATTAACTTTTCAATCGTCAATTACCCTTGCTAATGCAGCAATATACCTTCACCATCTGGAAACGGAGTTTATTCGATACGCAAGAGCATGCTCTTCGTATGTACAATTTCTAAAACGGGTAAATTCCTATAGTTGATTAAGCATGAATATCAGCAGGCTTGTTTATGGTCATCATTTCGGGAAATTTTGGTAAATACAATGACCTTGTCAGCAAATACAATTCTTTGAGTTTATATCCAAAAGTAAATTACTGATTCGAATATTCGTTCTATTTGCGTACACAAAGGATAAACTATGTCAGATCGATTTAATTGGCAAAGTACGGTACATCCAGAGGGTCAGATAGAAAACCTAATTATTTGTTCGGATTTATGATATTTGATCGAACAAATTAGAAAATTGTTGCGACATACTAGATAGGGGCTCAGATTAATTAAATGTGTATGCGGGAAACTATATATTTGTACGGTTGTAGTAGAAATTCTTTCGGACTAATTAGAAATTCGTTCGACTGAATAACATATTTGTTCAGGTAAATTACAAATATAGGTACATGTACATATAAGAATAAGTTCATACATACATATGGATAAGAAAAAAAAGATACTGAATATATATATTTCCTAGGTCTACATTGGAGTAATTACAGATGCAAATTTAAAAATAATTTTATTAAACATCCAAAATTGATATTTCATGATCATGTTAAATCGAATTTTCTCCATATTTTGACACTGTGCGCCCGGAAGAAATTATGAATCAATTTTTGTATCAAACTGATAAACCACCGAACAAAACAAGTACAGATTTGGAAGATGTAGATAAAGTATATTTAAGATTCTACTAATTGTTATTTTTCCTGAATATAAAGGAATGGATGATGAGTATGTTTGGTCAATCCTCCTGACGATTCTTATGTCAAGTGGATACAAGATGAAAATCCCCACAGACACGGACTGGTACGATCCAATATTTGAAATAAGAGAGAAATTTCTGGGTTTGAAAGAAAAAAATTGCAAGCAGCAGAAAGAGGCTTTAAAGGAAAGTATTAAAAAGGAAAATTTGTTTGAGCATGTTGATGGTTACTTAGAATTTATATCACCGGTTGTTAAAGAAAATGTCATGTCAAGATTCATTAAAAATTATTTGAAAAGTGATGAGGTACTAGCAGAATACATAAAAACCACTGCAGAAGATTCATTGAAAGAATATTGCCGTCTGTGGGGTTATAAGCGGGAGGAAGGAGAAAAATGTATCTTTATTCCTGAAAGTCTGACAAATATGTTCATCGAACGTTTGAGTCATGATGCTATCACCCATGTTATGGTTGAGAAAAGAGCTGACAGTGATGGCGTGGAGAGATATGAGACCTACAGGAATAAAGTGTCAGAACTATGTGAGTCTGAAATAATACTAGTATTCAAACTAATCATTTTAGTCTACTTAATTGAATGTTAGATTTTTGCATCAACATTTACTGTATTTTTTAAATATAAGTAAGATTCAATGTAAAATAAAAAGAATAAGGGAGGGCATATTGCTTTGCTGCTGCCGGTCGGTCGGTCTGTCTGTCGGTCCACCATTTTTTATTTTCTTCGCAGATGTTGCACATACTGAAATAAAATTTGGTATACGGATTTATCATACGAATATCTCGGTTAAATTTGGTTTTGGAACAGACCATTTTGGGAAGACTTATCTGCCTTGGACTTAGAAAAATTCCAATAATTTGCAGTTTCCAACTGAAATTTGGTGTACAGATTTATCATAAAAATATCTAGGTCAAGTTCTGTTTTAGGTACGATTGGACCATTTTGGACAGAGTTATGTCCATTGGACTTAGACAAATTCCAATTATCTGGGATGGTGGCATTAGTGTTTTACAAAGTTAACATATATTGTTTGATATATAAAACTCTGTCATCATTTTTATTTAAACTATGATTACTTTTTTCTCTTTTCAACATTAAAGCTTAATTCAATAAAAAAAAGTTAATGCTTTTGATTTAGTAAACATTCCAAGGGAAATACTTAACTGGGATAAGGATGCCAAAGATCGATATGTGAAATACAACAAAAAGGAGCTATGTTCCGTATTTCGAGCGCGAGGGATGCTTGTTGGTTGTGCTGGAGCTGGAAAAACAACTCTTCTGAGACGACTTCAAGGAAAAAAATACAATGATTTTAAAGATGTGCAATCCACAGTTGGATTAGAGGTCCATGACGATTTGTTTTTGGTGTTAGAAAATGAACAAAAATTGATAGGCAAGTAAAGAAATTTGGGATTATCCTTTTGTCCAACTAACGGTAATTGTCTCTCATGCTTAGCTATGAAAAAGATGACAAGGGGAAATTATATTTTGAAGCCTTCTAAACAAATATTCCCAATACCTGTCTACGTGCATTTAAAAAAAGCCCAGACAAGAATGAACTTTCATCACATTTTAAGGATAAATAACACAAACAAACTTTTTTCAGAAATCAGCATTATTTTTCATAGATTTACATATAAATTGACATCCTGAATAATGTTTACCAAGTAGAGTGAGAGAATTATATAAGATTTTGTCATAAGGTTAAAAAATTGTACAAAATTTTATATAGAATTATGTAGAAAGCAAAACAAAATCTCATATCTAAGCACCAAGGAAAACCTACGATTTCTTTATATTTCAGGGATTTATTATTTATGTCATTTCAAATCAAAATCAGTCAAAAAATATATATCAACCCGCGCATCCATTTTTTTTGTTTGTGGTAAGTACCCTTAAAATGTATGTGAAATAGCAATTTAGACAGTCCTTTCACATTTGAGATAAAGTGGGAATATTCTCATCGTATTAGCGATTTCCTTTACTTTATCTGACGCTGGGCACTTCATAAAGTCCTCATAAATAGTTTTCATGAATGATTTTAGGGGGAAAAATTCGTCTATTGGACTTTTACGAGAAGCGCTGACTTTTACAGTTGACGAATTACTCTCACACTAAGACAGTGTACGGAAGCTCTCTTACGATATAAATATTTAGCTCAACATTAAATGCAAGGGGAATAACGGGCTATTTCAAAGGACAGATAAGTTGTTCTTGAAGAATACGACAACCATCCTACCCTCAAATCCAGGCCTTGACATATAAGTGCCCCTAACACAATTACTATGACCACTAGAAAGGTTTTTCTATCCATTATCAATTCTGTACCTCCGTAGATGATACAGGTTTAAATGTCCAAGCAAACCTTCAACTGTAAAAGTCAGTGCTTCTCGTAAAAGTCCATTGATAACATTTGAAGACTAATTATATTTTGTATTCATTTTTATTGTTATTATTAGAACAGTGGATTAATTCCAATAGATTACTTTCATGTTCTGTCTAAACTCTCACGTCATATATGTGACACATGATTCCACAGTATTGTTATCAATTTGTAAGATTTTATGTATATCATAAATTTGGCAAACATTTTAATTCAACCTCGTTTAACCAAAGAATTGCGATAAATTTTTATTTATTTACTCTGAGAATTTTTAATGACAATGATACTTCTTAGACAGTGTCTCACAAATGTGAATTCCTATGAATATTTATCATTTGCAATTGTTTTCCCTTACACCTCACAATCTAGGCATGCATGGTGTGCTTAATTAAGTGTTAAACAGGTCCGTCATATGTCCTTAAACTGTTAATTCTTCAGTCAAAAAGATTGACTTAATTTTACAGTGGCCTCTTGAGTGGTTGACGTGTATATAATTTTTCTTCTAAAGATTTTTAGTTCGCCCGTGTGGTAAGAGCGTCGCGAAGTAAGGAGTTGGTCCTTAAGTCGCGGATTCGATTCCCACTGTGGGAAGTGGAGACCGGCCTTCGATATTCGGATGAGACCATATAGGTCCCGTGTCGCAGTAGGTGCTGGCGCAAAAAAGATTCCTCCCTGCTCAATGGCCGTGAGTGCCGAGTATAAGACAAAATTTGCAGCTCTCCATCGGCGTGGTAGCGTCTCCCGAGAGGAACGTTGAACAATATACAATCAATTAATCTAAAGATTTTAAATATATATATATATATATATATATATATAAAAAGCACTAAAAAACCAACAACACTGTATATCCTAAATGTCGGATCTACTAAGTAGATACAAGGTCACGGATGGAAATTTATATAAAGCACTAAAAATGACCAACGACACGAACAATAAGAATTGTCAAATTTTGGGACGCCCTGTCCCTTCGTCAGGACAAAGAAAAAAGTTAAAAAGTCATGAGAACAAAGGAAAAAGAGAAACAAAAACAACTAGCACTACTACTAAACTACTAAACACTAGATATTTACATACTTAATTACATGTTGAATTGGAAATTTTTAAGAACACGAATAAAGAAAGAATTCCGGACCGCTATGAAATGCGTCCGGTCTATCGGGTATACTCGGGTGAAGTTCACCCGAGTATACCCGATAGACCGGACGCATTTCATAGCGGTCCGAATTCTTTCTTTATTCGTGTTCTTAAAAATTTCCAATTCAACATGTAATTAAGTATGTAAATATCTAGTGTTTAGTAGTTTAGTAGTAGTGCTAGTTGTTTTTGTTTCTCTTTTTCCTTTGTTCTCATGACTTTTTAACTTTTTTCTTTGTCCTGACGAAGGGACAGGGCGTCCCGAAAATTTGACAATTCTTATTGTTCGTGTCGTTGGTCATTTTTAGTGCTTTATATATATATATATATATATATATATATATATATATATATATATATATATATATTCCTTTTTCTAAATTTGATCCTTTGATGTGAACAAACTTAAAACTACACTTTGTTATGATACTTACAGTGGCTGCAACATTATTGTGCGAGATCGTGCGTGTATTAGACTCAATCGTTTGCGGTTTTAAACGTGCGCGATCGTGCGTTTAGAAACGTGTAAATTTCATTTTGTAAGTTTTTATCGGAATGTTATTTGTTAAACAAGCGTTTCCCTTTTTATTATTATTATTTATTTAAATCCAAATAAAATGAATGAAGCGCAATTTACATAATTGAATGCAGAACGAATTAATTATCGCTCGTATACAAACAATATAGTAAGTTGTACAATATTATGTTCTCGTCAAATAGCACGATCAATATTGTGATAAACCGTACTTAGATCTTTAACATTTTTTTCTCTGATTTTCATTCTTGTTTACTGCTAATTGTGGTCAAGATATTTTTGAAATCAATGCATCAAAAATAAATATTTTTTTACAAATAAATAAACATTTCTTAATGCTCACATAAATATTTAGTCGACGAATATTCATGCACACGACATGATTTTCGGGGTTTGGTTTATCTGTGTATATCTCTGGAGCTTACTGTAATTTAATTTTTAAATTTCTGCAAATAAAAAAAGTTAAATATTTGGCAAGTTAACTTTTAGAGATACACAAACATTGAATTAATGGAAACATACGGATATAATTTTGAATTTAAGACATTCCATGCTGCCATTTTTTTAAAAATCTTATTTCCCTTTCTGCATATCATAAAATCCAGTTCAATCAAATTATACGGTCCACATACATGTACATCTTCTGATAGAACGAAAAAATCCGTTTTCTTAGGTCAGAGAATTACCAAAAAAATATTCACAATCCAAAATATTAAGTCTTACGTGTATTTAGTTACAGAAATATCTATTTTCTTTTTTCTTCAAAGTCTATGAAATAAAGTTGATAATTCTTTCAAATCTTAAATCAGTAATATGCCGTATTTCGTTTTGAAAATATCGATTCCTAAATATTTTGAACTACGTATTTTGAGTGAAGAATCGTGCGTTTGCGTTAGCAATCGTGTAAAATCGTGTAACGTGTAGAATCGTGTGCGTGAAGGATCGTTCGTGTAACAGGTTTAATCGTGTGTTAATCGTGCGGAATCATTCGTGTAACGTGATCGTTCGTGTAAGTTATCAACAATAACGTTGCAGCCACTGTAAATGTGTAAAGCGGCTGGTGGTTCGTGCATGGCCTATAGGAAAAAGCACTTTATCTATAGCAGTAGATAAACAAATGTAGCTTTTAATATCATCATAATGTATTTTTTTAAAAGGTGAAAGTTACAATGCCGATTTTGCTGAATATTACTCGGAAGAAAATTCCAAATTCCCTAAGAAAACCTTGAGCATGACAGATTTTGGAGGCCAATGCGTATATTACGCTTGTCATCAGATTTATCTGACTAGAAGAGCTTTCTATATCCTTGTGGTAGATATGTCTAGGGATTTCAAAGCAGTGGTTTCCACAAGCGAGTGTGATCAAAAGAGGACATATTTTGAAGACTGGACATATGGTGGTAATTTCTCTTTTTATAATCAAATATATAGTTTATAATCAATTCAACCACGATTATTGCCGAGATCAAAGAAATGCCGCAGACATTATTCTCCAATAAATCATCAAAAAATTATCAGATCAGAAACACGTATCAGACATGTGCAGTTGAAATGAACATTTGACTTAAGAATGATATACATATTTAGACACATCGATGTGTCGGCTTTTTGCAATTTAAACACTGTATTGCAGAAAGAAGCTGATGAATGTAGGTTTCTAAAGCTAAGCGGGGCTGTTTCACGGACCTCCGTACGCCAGAGTAAACTCAGCGATTTTAGTTATAAAGTGGTAAAATAGGAAACTGATTTTGTTATTGTATATTCAAAAAGATTTATTTATATAAGCTACAAACAGATTTATAATTAATAAAAGGCTAATTTTAATGCGGCGAAAGCAGACGTAATTCTATTCACAGGTAAACAAACAAAATTACACTTTGGTGCTAAACAGAACAGTTTTATCGAGCATGGTGACCTAATTCGTTTCTCTATAGAGAAACGATCAGTCGCTGCTTAGTAGAATAGAAATAAAGTCCTTGTTGTTGTGAATGATGAAGAATAACCTCCTCGGTCTCGAAATAATGTTTAAACTATAAAAACCCCGACTATCCATTTGGCTTTCATCTTTCATTTCTCGACCTCAGAGGTAATTCTGCGACATTCACGAAACCGAGGACTTTATTTCTTAAATATGAAATATTTAAACAATTTAATTCAATCTGGATCATTTCAGTTTTTGGAATATGTTAAATTACAAAATTTCGCAATTAACATTGCCATTGTAAATATTTTTAGCTGTCTCGTTCGTTATAACAAGAAAGAAAAACGCAATGAGATAATGAATAATAATGAGAAAAATTGCCGTAATAAAATAAGAACGAGACAATAACTCATGAAAAACGAGGTAAATTATTGACAAGCAAGTTGATGAAACAAGAATATCAACAGTCTCGTTTAAAGTCATCATTTCGTAAGTTCTTGGTCGATACAAAGACCTTGTCATCAAATACAATTTATCATTGAGTCAAATACTGACTGAGTTTTTCATACCAATTGTAAGTCCATTATTTATACACTGAATTGACGACGGATTTTCCCTTTATTTCACGATCATGAATACAATGAGCACAGGGCTAGTGTGACCGGTCAGCAGGGGATGCTTACTCCTCCATGGCACCTGATCCCACCTCTAATGTTTCGGAGGTCCGTGTTTGCTCTGCTCCTGTTTTGTACTGTTTGATGGAATTTGATATTGATTACTGTTCGTTATCTCCATACCCTTCTTCCTACGAGATACATGTAAATAGTTATTATATATAAAGTATACAGTAAGTCGTAAGTAAGGCATATATGTAATAAAACAAAATTACAAGATACAAGTCGCTACAATTACATGAAGATACTAGATCGAATATACAAAATAATCAGTCGCAATATCAAAATGCTAAGTCGTTGTAGGGAGACAATAATGAGATAATAAAAAGTTTTAATAAAAATAATGCTGCACGTATGAGATACTTAACCATACGAACGAAATATTCGTAATTAACTTAAGTTTGCAGTAAAATATGTAGATACAACGAACAGTACTCGAGATCAAAATTCCATAAAACATTACAAAATAAGAGCGGAACAAACGAGGACCTCAAAAATATCAGAGGTGGGATCAGGTGCCATGGAGGTGTGAGCATTCCTTGCCGACCGGTCGCACCCGCCGGGTGTCATGATCTGGATAAAACGAAAAAAATCCATGGAAATCTCAGTCTGTAAATAATGGCCTGACAATCATTATGAAAAAAAAACAGCCAGCATTTGAATTTATGGTAAATTGTATTTGCTGACAAGACCATTGTATCAACCATAGAATCGTAGAAGATCGTTTCGGATTAAGTACCAGTCGAAAATTGGAAAAATAGCAACCTAAGGTTTGAATGCATTTCATTCCTTTGTGGATACAATATACACGTATCCTGGTAAGCTTGAGATAAAGGATACATGTACCACCGAGTCTGATACATCTGTTTCATATTTGGATATTTTACTTGAAAAAGACGTTAATGGTAATTTAACAACCAAGCTCTATGATAAACGTGTTGACTTCAACTTTTCAGTCGTTACCTTCCCTCACGTATGTTTTGGTAAACCTTCATCACCTGCTTATGGAGTTTATATATCTCAATTGATTCGATATGCAAGAGTATCATCTACACATTAACACTTTCTAAAAGTTATAAAATCAAAGTAAATTTTTGACAAATAAGGTCATGAAACCAGAATATCAGCAGTCTCGTTTAACGTCACCATTTCGTAAGTTCTTTGGTCGATACAATGACCTTGTCAACACATACAATTTATCATTAAGTCAAATGCTGACTTAGGTTTTTCATACATATTGTTAGTCAATTATTTATACACTGAATTGTCGACGGGTTTTTTCCGGTATTTCCCGATCATGACAAGGAGCACACGGCTAGTGTGACAGGTTGGCATCGGATGCTCACTCCTCCATGGCACCTGATCCCACCTTTTATGTTTTGGAGGTCCGTGTTTGCTCTGCTCCTAACTTTTATTGTTTTATGGGATTTTGATCTTGGATACTGTTCGTCATCTCCATTTTCATGCATATTATGTGTTATTGGTATGACTTATTATCTCTTACGTATGACATTTTATATTGTACGTGTGACTTAATATCTTGTAAACATGTAAAGCATAAAATATTCGTAACAGAAAACTCTTCCGCACTTTTCCAAATTTTGATTATTTTCATTTAAGTTTCAATTTTATATCTGATTTTTTTAATGAGTCTGTAGTTTTGAATCAGTTAAACCCCTTTATTTTATAACTCCTTTTCTATACCATCAATTTGAAATATATAACATAAATACAAAAATATATGAATATTTTTTCCACAGAATATTTTGTATTTTGGCTTAAATCCATCGATACTTATTGCAATACGAATACTCCTGTCATCATTGTCGGAACCCACTGCGAAAAAAGAAAACAAGTAAGTAATATGATCATTTGTAAAACTACTAAAAGTCGGAAGTAATAAATATATATGTACTAGTATATAACAGTTAAGAGTATTTGCATGCGTGTTTTGATTTCACAATGCAACAATGCATTAATTCTTTGAAAATCCTCTCTCCTGCTTTTGCGATTTATGTACCTTATTCTGACGAGCAAGGGTCCTTCTTCCAGAATTGTGAATTTTAGGACCCCTGGGTCATGGGTTTTTTGGGGAGGGGGTTCTAATGATTCTATACCGAAAATAATAAATGTTTTGAAATCTGCTCATTGGTTTTTGTCGAACATTTATGACGAACAAGGGTGTTGTCTTCTCCAGAATTGTGAATGTGTGGCCCCAGGGTCAGGGGAGATCCTGAGTTCCTGTGGGCAGAAAAAACTACAGTGGACCCTCATTTATCCGGACACTTTGGTTCCCAGTCAATTTGTCCGGATATGTGAACCATCCGGATATCTGAATCACCAGTTAAACAAGACAGAAAAACATTTTAAAATTTCGCTCTGATAAAAAAATCGTCCGGATACTGAAGCATCCGGATATCTGGCGTCCGGATATCTGAAGGTCCACTGTACATATTATTGCTGCTTATTGCTGACAAGTGCAAATACGTTTGTTCTTTGTTCCCTACTCTGCCTCTAGGTATTAAGCAATCAAACTGAGCATGGTAAGTGTATTGTTATGATGAGCAATTTGCCTCTCTTTCATTGTGCATTTCATGGCTACGAACTAGATTCAATCGTTGGAAATTTGATATATTATTCTTAGGTGATTTATAGGGCCTGTGGGCCTTTTGTTTACTACTTAGGCATTGTTGATATGCTGAAATAAATAATGTTATAATACTGCATATGTCTACGAGTTTCCGATCGATAAAACCATATTCACATAAATTCAAATTACGTGCATATGTTATAAATGTATCTTAAAGAGTTTTTAAAATGTGTTTTTCAGGACAGTAAGGATATTTATAAAACATTATACGAGCTACTGCCTAAGAATCTTGAACTACATAAACACATGCACATTGAGAATTGTTTTCCAATTGGTTTTGAAAACAACGACGAAACAGAGGGATCTTCAATATCTAAAATCGAAAAGTCCATTGTTCAAACTATTTTGAGTCAAAAGCACTGGGGAGAGGAGATTCCTTTATCTTGGTACAAGTTTGAAGCATTTTTAAGCAAAGAAAAAGAAGAAAACAAAATTCTCTCTCCTCAGGAACTCTTCAAACGATTTCAAAGCAATGTTGAAAACTACATTTCTCCAAATATTGATGAAATGGAACAAGTAGATATACTTCAATTTTTCCATGAGATTGGTCGAATTCTCTTTTTCCAAGAAGATAATTTGCGTGATTATGTAATTTTGGATGTTCAGTGGTTTGTTGATGCATTCAAACATGTGATTACAGATTGTAACCACATGCCTGTGGTTAACAGACCAAGAGAATGGGATGAATTCAATTCAACAGGAGTGTTACATCACACCGTTCTTGAGGAAATATGGCGCTATGCAGATTGTCGCGGTATTTTGAAATATAAAGATGTTATTCTCCCATACATGCAGAGATTGGGGCTGCTTGTCATTGGTGAAGAATCACATTTGATCCCAAGTGTTACAAAACGGGAATATAAAGAGGAGATGAGTATGCTTTCTACAACAGATCAGAAAACATTGATCCTATATTTCAGTTTTGATTTCTTACCGTTATTTGTGTACCACCGCCTCGTTGTCTCCTGCTTCTCATTTAAGGATTGGCTACCCCTTCAAGATGGTTACAAATGCATTTACAAAAACGTGTCTGAGTTTAAATATGAACATCACTATATTGTTCTTGGTGTTTTCAAGGAAGATATTTACCTTCAGATCTACAGACCAAATATGCAGAATGCTGTGCTTAACAAAAACGTTACTTTGAAAGTAAGACAGACTGTCGAAGATGAGTTAGAAAAATTGAGCAATAGTTATCACAGGAAAATTAAATTTGAAACTGGATTTTACTGCATGACAAAGGAAAACAGTGATAGATGTTTTATTCCGGAGTCAGAAATGAGAATATTAACTTCCGAAATATGTCCACACCATGAGAGTAGACCAAATCACACCATTATCAGCAAAGAATATATGTGGCCATGGGATAAGGTAAATTCGAAAAAAAAATGTAAAGGCTGTAATCGAAAAATGTCACGGAATGACACTATAATATACTGAAAGGAAAAAGAAACGCATAAGAACCTAATATGCAAAATTTTTTGACCATGTGGTCAAAAATTATTAAAATTGGTCATACGTGTATTTTTGTTACTATGCACTAAAATCGCTGGTTAAAACTACTCAACCATGAAATGTATGGCGTCACGTAGGGGAAGTGATAAAAAACCAAAAACACGTGCCTGTTGATGATGACAATTTTATGATCACATTTTGTAGTGCCAAGCGATGCATTAGAGTTATAAACATCGTTTTCCACATTTTCAGTTCGTATAAATTTCTTGCAATCAGGGTATGGCGACAGAAGTTACACTGGGTCTAGTAATTGAATTCCCAAAGAGAATAAAAAGGCAACAGCATGTTAATGTGAGGTTTGTTTTAAACTTTTCAACTAAAAAAGTTTTTTTTCAGTTGTCAGAGAGTAACATGAAAGGTTTCAAGCCAACCATGGCGGTGACGTTAGCGCGTAACAACGTCACATCAAGATAGGGCTTTTCATCATGCCACCTCGGTTGTTGTCAAGGAATCGCTGAAACCAATATTTATACAGCAGACTATCATACCCATATTTTCCATCCTAAAATTGACAGAAACTGTGCTAAAATTTGGTCTGTTAGCTTGGAAACTTTACGTCGATTTTACTCTCACACTCTCACACGTGCACGTACGCGTCGTATGCGTAATGTTTTAGCACGTGTTTGTCGAGACTGTCTTACAAACATCCACGTGTACCAAACCAGCTGGATTCTGTAAATTCTATCCTAAATCGAAAATTCGTGGGATTCATTTGGCAGGGGGATTTGTTAGCTTTGAAATAATACAGCTACTTTCAACCATTAAGACTATCGTCGGAAGATTTGAATAATAAACCTATGAGAAAAATAAATGCTCTGGTGAACTCAATGCACAGGAAAATCAAGGCTGTTTCCAATGAGCAAGGGAGATGATGAGAATTTTATTTTAATTTTTTAGGGGGGGGAGGGATCGACATATCAATTTTAATAACTCAGGAATCATCAGTCAAAGTCACGCAAGATTTTGGTAACTTCTTGATTAAAGATGAATTAAAATGTTTGACAAAAATACTGAAAAACATTTTCGAAATAATAGTTTTAATTTAATTCAAAAGTTTACTATGCTTTTCTTTTCCCTTTCAGTATATTATTATCTTCCTTTTAATAAAGTAACATGTTTTTTACATTGCATTATTGCCAGACTGGGACTGGGTGTATACGTTTTTAGGTGTTTTATGTGACGAATATTTTTTTTTTAGAGTTTTTATTTTTTTTTAAAACATAGAATTTGACATGTAACACATATACTAAAATAAAAACGATTTTCTTCGTATACATTTGATTTTTATCTATTACAGACAGTGCAGAAACCGGCTCCATAAGTAGTAGTAATATGAATCTAAAGGAGAAGAAAGAGTAAATTTGAGTCCAGATGAATCTTAATGAGGACAAAAGAAGAAAAAAATGTGATTGACTACCCGTATAGCAAATAAAACAAACGATCATTATTGATTGATAGTACATGTATGTTGTTTTACCTCCTGTTCGTGATGTCAACAAGCAAACAAATGTGTATACAGATAAGATAAGATACTGTAGACGTACTATTTTCCACGGGGTCATAATTCCGCGGAATCTCGATTTCTGTTTAATCCGAGGGTAGAAAATTACGCAGATTTTCTAGATTATCACTAAATGCCTTACATTTACATTAAGTACGCTTGGACAAATTTCCGCGGAAAATTTGCGACCGCGTACATAGCGTAAATTAATACCACGCGGAAAAAAGGACTTCTACAGTAAGATAAGATAATTTTATTTTCCAATTTTGGGCCCATAAGGCATAAAGGTTCTTTTTACAATGACAAGATAGAAAGTTCTGAAAGAAAGGTTAGTAAACATACACAAACATAAACACACACATGTGTATATCTGATATAATATAGATAATCCAATAAAAAGTCTCAGTGGTCGGTATTAAATACTTAAAAGAAAAAAGAAAAACACGAAAAACTCCAGTAAAGCTTTAGGCCTTTCATTCTATCTTCAGAAGCTTTTAATATATACAAGTAACTGTACATGTAGATGCAGCAGTTGGGGTTTTCAAATCGCTAATTAACATGCAATCAAAATCAATATTATCAATATACATACTGAGTATATACCAGTATACAAATAGATATGTGTCAATAACATCATTTATGAGGACTCATGGCATTATGCCTTGTTTTGAAGGCTTTGATAAGATATTGACTTAGTTTTGTAATAATTAGATTGTCTTCATTAGACATTAACCAGAGAAATTTGTCTGCTTTTGATAATTATATGAAATTTTTGTTAAGTAATGAGATATCACGAAAAAATTTATCTCTCTCCTCAGTATATAATGGGCATTCAGTAAGAAAATGATATTCATCTTCTATATAGTTTTGGTTACACATTAAACATATTCTTTTGTTTCTATCTAAGGGAATTCTTTGACCAGCATTATTTTTTACAGATTCATATCTGCCTTTTTCAATTCTTAGGTCATGAGCACTTATTCTAAATCTGCATATGGATTTTCTTATTTCAATATTAATTTCAGTTCTTTAATGGAACTCTTATGCATTAAAGTATTAAATAACAAATAGACGAAAAATAACATTTATATTAAAATATCTTATAGAAAATATTTGATCTTAATTATTAATGAAGCATGTTTTATCCATGAATTTGTTAATGAGATCTATATCTGATTTTAAGAATTATATAGAAGTTAAGGTTGTTTAAAAGTACAAAAAGTTAGTGAACTGAGAATTTGGGTAATTAGCAATCACGTAGTTTAGACATTTTAGTTAAAGAATTAATGTAATTCAAGGATTTGTACATGACATAGTTGAAAAAATTATTTATTTATATTTTTTGTAACGTACACTATAATAAAAGCATATTACTTTCCTATGAACACACAGTGCGATTTCTTAAAATCATAGTGTCTAAAATTAAAAAAGAGGGTGTTATAAATTAATTAAGTAGTTTTAAATGTATAAAGAGGGTTTATTTTCATCAAAAGCGTTTGTTTGCCAAATTTTTGCTCCTATACATTTGGAAATCATCAGAAGCATTATGGCAAGATTACCATCTATCTACAATTTTTGAAAGGGATGTTTGACAAAGGTACATTTAATGTCTGAGATCAGATTGAAAGGATGATATGACATACGACCCCCGATAAATTGTAAAATAAATTAAATATCTACATTTTACTCTAATTTCTATACCCCCCGAAAAGGACGTTTTTGGGGTATATAGGAATCAGCGTGTCCGTCCTCTGTCTGTCTAGCTGTCCAGCTGTCTGTGCAAACATGTCCGTTCCATATCTTTCTTACGGAGGAACATTTGAATCTGCTTCTTCACACAAAGATTGCTCATGACCTAAGGGTGTGTCATGACCTTGGCCCAGGTCATTTGCAGAAGTTTAAGGTCACTAAAAGAAAAATTTCATAACTCGTGTAGGGTCCATATTTATACCCCACGCAACAAGTTGCGTGAGGTATAATGTTTTTGACCCGTCCGTCAGAGTGTCAGTCAGTCCGTCAGTCCTGTTTTTTTGTCAGCGCAACTCCTCATAAACCGCTGCACAGAATTTCGTCATACTTTGCAGATATTTAGGACACAATGTGTAGATGTGCGCATTGCCAGGAAATTTCAATTCCTTTAGTGTTACCGGGAATTTCCGCACTTTTTAACTTAGGTTTTTGGCCATACCTTGAATATAGAGATGGACAGTTTGTCAGCGTAACTCCTCTAAAACCGCAGCAAAGCATCTTGTCAAACTTTGCAGATATTTATGATACAATGTATGGATGTGCATATTACCAGGAAATTCCGATTCCTTTATTTTATCCGGGAATTTCCGCACTAAAAAGTTAGATTTTTGGCCATATCTTGAATATAGAGAGGAAAAGTTTGTCAGCACAACTCCTTTTAAACCACTGCACAGAATTTCGTCAAACTTTGCAGATATTTATGACACAATGTATAGATGTGCATATTACCAGGAAATTCCGAATCCTTTATTTTTCTGGGAATTTCGGCACTTTTCAACTTAGATTTTTTGGCCATATCTTGAGTATAGAGATGAACAGTTTGTCTGCGCAACTCCTCATAAACCGCTGCACAGAATTTCATCAAACTTTGTAGATATTTATGACACAATATGTAGATGTGCATATTAACGGGAAATTCCGATTCGTATATTTTTGCCGGAATTTTCAGCACTTGGAGATTTTGGGGAGTATGAGGAATGTGAGCTTGATCACTTTTTCTTTCATTTCTTATGGATAAACTTAGTAAGTTCTCATTTTACATGAAGATTTCTCATGACGTAAGGGCGTGTCAAGTCATTCAACTAAGGTCATTTGTGCAAGTTCAAGGTCACTGAAAGAAAAATTTCAAATATTTGTGTCCTGTCCATATCTTTCTTATGGAAAAACTTACTAAGTTCCTATTTCACACAAAGATTTCTCATGATTAAAGGGTTTGTCATGACCTTGACGCAAGGTCATCTGTGAAATTTTAAGGTCACTGAAAGAAAAATTTCATTAATCATGTTTGGTACAAAACTTTCTTAAAACTTGAAACTACTACTTCACACAAAGATTGCTTATGACCTCATGGTGTGTTTTGACCTTGAGCCAAGGTAAATTAAGTTCAAGGTCACTGAAAGAAAAACTTCATAATTCATGTCTGGTCCATATCTTACTTATAGATAAACTTGGTGAGTTCCTGTTTCACACAAAGATTGCTTATTTCTTAAGGATATGTCTTGACCTTAACCCAAGGTCATTTGTGCAAATTTAAGGTCACTGAAAGAAAAAAATTCCAATAATATGTGCCTGGTCCATATCTTTTGGATAATCTGAGTGGGATCCTCTTGCACACAAAGATTGCTTAGGACCTGATGATTTGTCAAGACTTTGACCCAAGGTCGTTAATTTTGTGCAAGTTCAAGGACACTGAAAAAGAAAATCATAATTCATATCCGGTCCATATCTTTCTTATGGATAAAGGTGGTGAGTTCCCATTTTACACAAAGATTCCTTTGGACCTAATGGTGTGTCATGACTTTGAACCAAGGTCATTAATGCAAGTTCAAGTACAGTGACAGAAAAAGTTCAAAATTCGTGTCTGGCCTGTATCTTTAGTATTTATTTTTTTTATTAAGCTGCACATTGTTTCATTCATGAAAAATATAATGAACAGTTATATTTGCACTAAAAATGTTTTAGCAATTCTCTCTTCTCTTAGATCCATAAAATATTCGTGATTTGGCAACTTCTCTGAAAAACTCAGCGGTGGTGTTTCGTTCCTTTTGGACAGTTCTAGGTGTATTCAGTTAATCACTGATATGAGCATATGATGTTAAAAAATAATATGGTTTCTGATTGTTTTCTTTAAAACTGACTTAAACATAAATTGATAAAAGTGAGGTCAAAGTCAAATGAAAGGTGAAAAATGTTGATGCAGTTGAATTGCTTACATCAGTATATATCAGTATATGAAGTTTGACACAAATTTAGGAAAAATGAGGTCATATGAAAGGTCAAGCTCAAAAACGTTGCAGTTGAACTGCTTAGATCAGTATGTTTCAGTATATGCAGTTTGACTCTTATTTAAAAAAAATTGTGGTCAAAAAAATCAAAGGAAAGGTGAAGGTTTAAATGTTGATGGAGTTGAAAAGCTTATGTCAATATGTATCAGCAAATGAAGTTTGACATTAATTCAAGAAAAGTGAGGTCAAAGGAAAAGTCAAGGTAAATAATGGTAATACATATGAATAGCTCTCATCAGTATGTATCAGCATATAAAATTTGATTAAAAAATACCTTGAAAGGTTTCTTGAGTTAAATACTAATTTAAGAAAAGTGAAATCAAGGTCAAAGTAAAGGTTAAGGTTAAAAAAATGTTGATGCAGTTGAATAGCATTCAACAGTTTGTATCAGCATATGAAGTTCAATAAAATATCTTGGATGGTTTCTTTAACGCTGAGCTTAGAACTAATTTAGTCTGGTCCGATTCATAGAAAAAAATACTTTTAACGACAAATAATTATTATTTGGTCATGCATAGTTTTTTCACCTATTTCGAGTATGCTAAATCCGAAAAATTTTGCTGGCCTTTATGAAAATGGCGTTAAAGAGGTCAAAATGGCGATTCAAAATGGCGGACATCCAATTTTTCTAATTTTCTCTTAATATCGTTCAAATAGGAGAAATAATGTGTGAATATCTCATTGAGTGTAATACAAGTATAAAAATGATAATAAAATGCTAACATTATTAGTTAAACTCAGAAAATTTAGTCATTTCTACACTTAATTCGAATTTTCTCTGATTTTTTGGTCTATTGTCTATATTCCGCTTTGTTCAGGATTTTGCATTTGAAAATATCCATACACTGCAGATTTGTATTATTTCCTCTGCATCTCACTATTCTACAACTGAATGATGGAGCAGCCGTAAGTTAAAATTAAAAATGGCGAATATTCATCTTTGTACAAAAAAATTATTTCTTAATGTCGTTTACATAGGAGAAAGGAATTTGAATATCTTACTGAGCGCAGTACAACTATGTAAAATGCCAACAGAACACAAACTTGATCACTTTAAATCGGAAAATTTAGTCGTTTAAATTTGAAATGTGTTAAGTAGCTCAAAATGGCGATTCAAAATGATGTCTGATACACTCGAATTTCGTAGAAACTCTTAATTCTGGTTCGTTTTGGAGAAAATAAATTACACTTTGTTTTTATATATATACACCCATTCTCAATATAAGGGATCAAATAATGTCGCTTCATTTTCATTTAAAAGAAATACCACTGATGTAATTTCTAAATCAACATTATAAATAGTCATATAACAATGAATAAGAATTCATATAATTATCGATCTGAAAGGGTATTTAAGGAGTTCACAATTCAAATATAGAAGCCTATTTGAAATGTACGTTACTGTCGCCGAGGCAAATATTATTCTGAATCCCCTCTGTGTAATATATAGTTTTGATTCTTAAGTGAAAATTTTCTGATAAGTTAAACCTTGTATTATATATATTTTTTTTCATAACAATAAATACATTTTCTTTGTGATAATAAATAATTTTTATTGTGCAATGTCCCTGTCGCTTAATTCTATTTCAACCACATTACAAGCAAACACAAATATTATACACCTGATAGTTTTGTTCTCCTTTATTTATTGATTGGCTAAATTTGAAATTTCAATAGATTAATTACTCCTACTTAGATAATGTAACATGAAATTGAACAATTTGAGCAACTTTTATAATTATGTTTACGGAATGAAAGACATTTTCAATCGTAGAGATAAGAAAGAAATGTACGTTACCTATATTCTTCCATTAAGAATATATATTAAGTAGAAAATATGAGACGACTCTGAATAAGCAACCCCTTGTATCCTGTAAACTGGCAAAGACGTTTTGCTTAACACAATTAAAAATTATTTTTTACATGAAAAGTGATCATTTGAAATGTACGTGACTGAAATGTACGTTACCATGAAATTCGAATTAAGTAAATCTCGCACAAATTTTCATGTATTCTCATACTTTCACACACTTG